AGGAGGAAGCGGGTAAGCGCACGCTAAACAGATTCTCATGTGGGGTCCTTCCATCGGAGTAAACATAGGTTGCCGATGACCCGGTCGGAATACCAACATGAAATGCGGGACCCAAAGGAAGGGGTCTCCCGCCTGAGACTTCCTTACAATTCGCTCACAGCCGAGGCTCCCGCTAGATACTTCTTCCAAATTCAAGCCAGGGGAACCCAACAATGACGACAGTTACAGGTTGCCGATGACCCGCCCAGATTACTTACCAACATGAAGTGCGGGACCCATAGGGAGGGGGCTCCCGGCTGAAACGTCCTCACAATTCACTCACAGACGAGGCTCCCGCTTGATACTTCCTCCAAATTCAGGCTTGAGGAACCCCAAAGTGGCGACAGTTACAGATTGCCGATGACCCGCTCGGATTACCAACATGAAGTGCGGGACCCATGGGGAGGGGGCTCCCGCGTGAGACTTCTTCACAATTCACTCACACACGAGGCTCCCGTTTGATAGTTCCTCCAAATTCAGGCCTGGGGAGCCCAAAAGTGACGACAGTTACAGGTTGCCGATGACCCGCTCGGATTACCAACATGAAGTGCGGGACCCATAGGGAGGGGGCTCCCGCGTGAGATTTCTTTCCAATTTACTCACAGACGAGGCTGCCGCTTGATACTTCCTCCAAATTCAGGCTTGAGGAACCCAAAAGTAACGACAATTACAGGTTGCCGATGGCCCGCTCGGATTACCAACATGAAGTGCGGGACCCATAGGGAGGGGGCTCCCGCCTGAGATTTCTTCGGGTGACATAAGCGAGTGATGGTGATGAGCGAGTGAGTGAGTGAGTGAGTGAGTGGGTGGGTTGGTGGGTTGGTGGGTGGGTGGGTGGGTGGGTGAGTGACGATGATGATGATGCTGATGATGGGTGGTAATGAGTGCGATGATGATTATGATGATGATGGTGGTGCTGATGATGATGAAATGGATAGTGAGAGAGAAAGAGGGGGATGAAGAGGAGATCCTGCGCGGAGGGTGTCCAGAGAAAACAAGAACCCCACTTAGGATGTGGGGAATAACGCTACGAAGAAACATGATACTAATAACTGGACGAATACTGCGAATACTATTAAGAAGGCGACGGGTGGTACTACGGTGGGGGCGTTCGTTAAGGAATGTGTCCGGGGAGGCTTCAGACCCTGGAGGATTCCTTACCGGATGAGGTCGGCAGTGGTTTCCATGGCCAATCCACGATGGCGTTCCACCAGCTTCCAGACCCTGGATTCCTTATCCAATGGTTCCTCATCCAATGCCGTCGCCGTCCGTAGCCATTTTGGCTCAAGCCATTTTGGCTCAAGCGAGCCGCGCTACGGGAGGCCCTCGCGTCTTTGCGTGCCCGCAGCGGGCGCTCGGGCACGCGCCAGAGGCCGCGATGGAAGCGAAACGCTGGGCAGCGGCCGGCGCTCGTACACTGGCCCGTCGCCTTCGCCGTGAGCGACAGGCGGAGCGGGGCTGGTCGAGGGCGGCCGCGTTGAACCGGCGTGTGAAGGCGCTGCGCAGCTCGCTGGATGCGCATTGGCGACTCGCTGATGCGGTTGGCCGCTTCCTCCCCACCCTTGGGGAGGAGTTGGCGGCAGGGCGCCTGCTGGGCTGCGACGGCGAGCTCCTCGAAGAGGCGAGCGAGGCGCTGATCTACGGCAACGCGGCGCGGCACTCCCCGCCGCCAGTGGCCGTGGCAGGCGTCCCTCGCCTGCCCGATGGGCTGGATGCAAGGGCGCTGGAGCGCTTGCTGGCCGGCCATTCTGCGCAGCTCAGGCGCGAGGCTCGGCCTTTCGTGCCCGACGGCTGGGAGAAGGCCGACGTGCTCCTGCAGGCGCTTGGAGCCAGAGGCCTGCACCTCGACACGGAGGTGGTGCAGAGCGAGGGCATCTCCAAGATCGTCGAATCGTCGACGGTCCACAAGGACGAGGTGCCGCAGAACGTCATGTGCGACACGACCGCCGCCGACACGCTGGCTGGCAGCTCCTTCGGCCTGGCAGCCCCTGGCGGCGATGGCGGCGGCGATGAGCAGGCGCTGCAGGACGAGCTGCAGCGGGACACCTTGGGCGGGATCGGCATCGAGCACGTGCCGACGACCCCGCCAGGTGATGTGGCCGAGGACATTCACAGCGGAGTAGCGGCTGTGGAGTCGGAGGCGGTGCAGGGTGCCACCCCAACGGGCCTAGTACCTGGGGGCTTGGGAACGTTTCCCATCGGTGCTGCTGGGTGGCCCGCCGCCGCGGCCGCGAGCGCATCGCAGGCGGGTGCCACCCCAGCGGGCCTTATACCTGGGGGCTTGGGAACGTTTCCCACCGCCTCTTCTGCTTGTTCGCGCAGCTTCAGCGAGAAGATGTGGAGAGCAAGGTCGGTGATTTCTCGCACGTGGCTGGAGCCGCTCCCGCGGGAGGCTCAGGGCCAGGCGTGCGTCGAGGCGGCTGAGGTCGCTCACAGCGGAGCGGAGGCCGCAGTGTCGGAG